CGACACTCTGCGGATTTTTGTAATCGCGCGTATTACATGTCATACTAATAAACTCTTATCACGTGTTTCAATTAAGTAGTATGGTAGCGAGAAACGGCAAAGCGGGACGCGAAACCGTCAGGGCGTAAACGTTGAATGGTTGGGACAACTGTTATCAGAATCGCAAACTGCTATCTCTGAATAAGCAATTGGCAACGTGAATAGAATTTCGCCCGAAATAACGCACTCCTTCCCAGAACATTTCAATGGCGATGTGTTCCGAGTTTGTTATGGATATAAGGAGAGGCGGCTATAGACTGCCATGCGGTCCTAAATGGATTTTCAATATCGGACTTCCCTGCGTTTTGTTCGCCCGCAAGGTATCGTACGTTGATGGCCGTCTGCTTTCATCGATCAATCTAAACGATGAAGAGATTTTTTAATCGGACCGATTTTTGGGTAGGTGTGCGACGGCCTTAAGCACCCCTGCGACTGCCAGCGACGCTCAGCGACTGGAAAATTGTCAGTCGCAGCGAGTCGCACATGTTCTACTTTTGCGACGCGACGTGACTAGTTCCAGCAACTTCCACCGGTCGCAAGCATTGTATTTCATGGTTACTACCCGACATAAGCTGCCTTGCGATCTCTACGACGAGATTCGTATGCATAATGAACAATGCATGCGAAAAAAACAATCAGTGCATACAGTCATAATATACACAAGTTACACAACATGCACACAGTAACGAGTCATGTAAATTAACTCATTTAGTTGCGCGATCTATAGGCGATCGTAGCTCTAGAACTATAGCCCTCCGCTCCGCCGCAGGCGAGACTCCTGCGGCGGAGCGAAGGGCTATAGTTCTAGAGCTAAGGCGATCGTTGCTTTGACCCAAGCACCTTCTGCGACTGCCTGCGACTGGCCGCAGGCAGTCGCTGTCAGTCGCGTCGCCGTCGACCTAAGCACTCAGTTGCAGTGAGATGCAGTGCGTCGCGTCGCGTCGCATTCAATCGCAACCCGACCTAACGCTGGCTTTACACTAGTGCCAGCTTGTTCAGATGTGTTTATTCGACACATCAAAGAAAGAACTTTATCCACCACTATCAAGTTTAAAAATTAGGCCAAGCAATACATGGTGTTCACCAAGTACACCATTTTTAATGACAAATGCTGAAACATCATGCGACAGAAAAACGCGCACAGAGATGCGGCAGTTCAGAGATGCGGCAGAAAATGAAAGACCAATTACTTTATAAATACATATATATATATATTTCATGTGTACATAATATGTATAATATATATTATACATATATATATATATATACTGCAGGGTGCAAAATTAACGGGAGTCCGGAGTCAAATACTCCCTGATTTACTGTCGGACTCCCTGATTTGACATATGCAGGAGTCCGTGTGACTCCCTGAAAATTCTGCCATTCTAACTAGTTCGTACCAAAGCACGGCCTCGCGGAATTACCGTATTTTTCCAGTAAAATTTGGCAGACGTGCAATTGCATAAATGTTAAAAATAAGCACATGCATCTTTAATTTTGAACTTCAGACTGCGGACTCCCTCATTTTGCTGCGGACTCCCTCTTTTTGAGGGTAGGAAGTCTGTTGGACTCCCGTGAGTCTGTTGAACTCCCGTGTTCAAAAGTTAATTTCTACCCCTGATACTGTATTAGAAATGTCAAGGGTGATTGAACTATGAGACATGTGTGAACAACATTAGCGTGAGAATACATTAATTATATCATAACACAGTGAACATTTAACCTGTATGTTTTACAGATTAGATCAGTGGAATAGATCAGAATGAGCAGGATCTCATTTTATACCTCTATACCTGCGTCTTCAGATGGAAATGGCGCTGGCAACATTAAGGTTAGCTTTAAATGGGCAGCCTTAGGTGAAGCCAACACGTTACTGCAGCTGAGAGGGTCTATGCCCCCCAGGGTACTGCCGGAACGTACCCTGGGTACGGTCCGGTATACCGGAACGTACCCGGCCTGGTACTATCTAATATGCCAGACCGTACCTCGCCTACTCCACTATTAGACGAGTCTAGGGAGTCGCCTACGCCTACTACTCCCTAACCCTAACCCTAACCATATCAGATAGTTACCAGGGTACGTTCCGGTACACCGGACCGTACCCAGGATACGTTCCGGTACACCGGACCGTACCCAGGATACGTTCCGGCAGTAACCTGGAGGACATAGACCCTATGAGCGTTACTGCATGTATGATGCAATGTATTGGCAAAAATAGAACATGTTTTAATCTCCCACCTAGTTGCCATCGACCAGTTGCTCACACGACTTTTGAGTTTATTACACTCCCGATTTTTGGTTGTATAGTTGAGAAGTTGGTCAATTCGCCAATTTGCGGGCAAGCAGTACATGTATTTATAGAAACAGAAAGACAAACTTTGTCTGTCTACTTTACCAAAGCAGGGCTGCCAATATCTCAAACACAGCAACAAAATGCTGAGATATCTCAAGCATGAATATCTCTTCATGAATAAAACGCTGAAATATCTCACGCACAGCAAAAAAATCTTACAATATCTGAAAACAGTCACTTTAGTATGCACCAAATTGCACAAATTGAAGTTATAAAATGCAAACGCTTCCTACCGTGGGAGGTGGGAAATCCCCCACCCACACCTCCCCCCCCCCGCTCGGTCGCTTCGCTCCCTCGCATCTCACTCACACCCATCACCCAATGTTGGCAGCCCTGCCAAAGTTATGTTAACTCTGTAACTGTTCTGTTGCCTAAGATATTTCCATGATATATGAATTCCTTAATTGCACACTATCACTGTTAACCTACTTATGATAGTGTCACCGATACCATAATTCCAACATCATTGAATTGAACATGGAATGGAAGAAACGAAGTTAACTTAAATGGATCTTTTAATAATAAAGACAATACATGTTGACAGAAATAATAAGGCTTGGATGATCAAGTGCTAGGAAGAGGCTTCAAGGGAATACCAATCACTTTCACTTTAGCATATTTTGGTTATTTATCTATGTATATTCCTCATACAGAGATTTCTTGAGAGAGTGAGGATGCTAGGAATGTCGTGTCACGACTGTCACAAGTTACGTAAACTTAATTAATGTTTACTTACTCATGATACTTAATTTGTAATTTCATCATTTTTTATTTACAAGGTTAGTTTGCATAGGTGCAATGGTTTGCATAGACTAAAAGCAACAACTTAGTTTGCTTGCAACAATTTACTCCACCATGCAGCATTCCATAATATAGTAAAGTTAGGATTGAGCGATGCTGTTTTTTTTTAGGTCTTTTATTAATCAGGCTTCTATTCATTGATTTAACAATTAGTGCCCTTATTGCACTACTATTTCGTGTTCTGCTATGCTAACATAATTTCATGCTAATTCATGATATATATGTTACGATTATTATTTATGGTACGTTATAGTTTACTCTATATCACATTTCATTACGTTCACCATTGCATTCTACACATTTCTGAACGCTGTACAATCTGTCTGTACTGTCTCTATTATATTACTCGTTCAGGTCATGGTAATTATGTGATCAGGTCTATACAAACTCGGCTATTGCATATGGGTTTTATACTATGCTTTATAAGCCATGCATGTTGAAGGGTATGCGCCAGCCCGAGGCACCAGCCTAAAAACTCATTGTTGTACTACTGTATAATTGAAGTAGCATTTAATTCTTATTCTCTACATTAATTCTTCTAAAACATAAACACGTATTTTGATAGCAAAAGTAACCCAAGCAATGCAGGTTTTCCACTATAGTATTTCGTAAATGGAGATAATTGCAGGATAGATCGACGAACACGTACTGTGATACACAGACAGACAGGATTACCAAAGCAGACCTGATCTCATTGAAACAGTCACAAGCACTTGGAACGTCTCAATAAAAATAAATAATGGTAAATAAACACGAAATGTATTTACTACCAAAGTCTTAATGTTTCTCTATTCTATTTCGCCTATAATCACCTGTAAATGCTGGTCAAATGCTCATCTGCAACACACAAGTACACCGCACGCTAGCTGCTGCACAGCTATATTATATATACCATAGCAACACATATATATTTGTGTCAGTGCACTGTGCATACGTGTGCAGCAGCTAGCATGCGTCGGCCAGCGTGTGACAGTGTGTAACAGATGAACATTTGGACGGCATTTACAGGAAATTGTCCGCAATTATAGGTGAAAGAGAGTAGAGAAGCATTAAGACTTTGGTAGTAAATACATTTCGTATTTATTTAGCATTATATTTTATTGAAACGCTCCAAGCTAGTGCCTGTGAACGAAAAAAAACTCTGGCTGTGACCACCCTCAGTGCCATTCGGTATAGAAGTAGAAGAAGAAGTAGAAGAAATCAAACTAGCTTCTCCGGCAAAAAGCAGACTATGCCGCCAAACTCCATGTCGGATAACACTTCGGTCTGCCGGAGAATTTAACTATGATTTTCAGCACTGCTTCTACGGCGCCGGAGATCTAACAAGAAAATTTGTTCTTAATTCTCCGGCGGCCGGAGAACTAACGATGGTTTTCACCGCTGCTTCTCCGGCTGCCGGAGAAATAATACCAACCTAAATATATAGTTATATATTTATAGCTATATATTTATGTGTCAGCTATAGTGTGCACTGTCACTGTGCAGCGGCAGCCATGGCGGCAGCCAGCGTTTGTTGCAGATGAGAATTTGGACGGCATTTACAGGAAATTGTCGGCAATAATAGGTGAAAGAGAGTATATAGAAACATTAAGACTTTGGTAGTAAATAGATTTCGTATTTATTTAGCATTATATTTTATTGAAACGCTCCAAGTGCCTGTGAACGCGGCAATCAATGTAGACGAAATACGACGTTCGATGCATGGCTACGAGAAACACGCGATAACACCAGACTTGAGGTCATCTAAACGAACCGATAACGCTATCCTGCAACCGCAACTATAGGCACGATACGTTTTCCCACTACTGACCTTGTATCACTCGATGACGATCCTTTTTGTTCAATTTCGGCAACGGAAATCAGACAAGAGAGAACTCAGGGAATAGATGCCGCAACGAGCTCACGCGACGACTCAATGCCCACAGCTGTAAGTGTGTGCCACAGCCACTGTGTGGGAGCTGTCATGCGCCCTGCACCGATCAATAAGGGGCTCTGGGCGACCGGGCCACCAACCGCCGACTACACGATTTAGTAAAATTAGTTAACGTCATCATGCATCGTCGTCATCATCATAATTATCATAATTATCATCATTCTCATATCCCAACGCCACCGCCGCCACCTACCCAACCACCACCACCATCATCATCATCATCATCGTCAGTATCACATCATCATCATCATCATCATCATCATCATCATCATCGTCATCATCATCATCATCATCATCATCATCGTCATCGTCATCATCATCATAACCATCACCACCACTACCGCCACCACCATCATGATTGGAACAACACCAACATCACCATCGTCGTCATAAATTAAACTACATCAGTTGCATTACCAGCAGCAGCAGCAGCATCAATGCGCTTTGGATGCCGTTGCCAGCACGGTGTCATGCCGCCCGCTTGGCAAATCACCTAGCACAGCATGTTTCTCACGACATGGAACACCGTTAAATTGATCACCTCGCCGCCCATGTTCCGTGACGTTGTTTACAATACCACGTGTAATCGTTGATCACCCAAGGCTTCTTATTTTACTTGACGTGAAATGGCTAATTGGCAACCGTTCAACACGGGCCAAATTATATTTGTCGATTAACCTCTAAATAACAAGACCAACAGCAAAGGGGTAATTTTCTAATCGCGAGCCGAGCATTACCACATTCCGAAAGCTCAAGTAGACCCTATATATATATTATAACATGCTACGATAAGTACACGTCGTGTGAAGCACAAAACACTGATCGATGTTCCTACTGTACCTATACTACTACACTAGCTCGTGGCATGAGGCAACACGTGCACGTAGGTGTAATTGCGGTTAACGCTCCATTAGGAGTGTTCCCAATTTTGATATCATTAATGATTAATGATTAATGATT